TTTGCTTTTTTATATATTTTTTCTTTTTCTTCATTTCATAGATGATAGTTTTTTACATTTATGGTTGACTCATTTAATTATTAATTTAAAATATATATTTTTTGGTTTTTGGTTTTTTTTCTTTACCTTTTATTTTTTTAATTAAATAAATCTTGTTAGAAAATAATATCAATGATCGGCTTTTGATCCATCCTGATCCGATAAAAAACAATTCTTTTAAATTGAAATCATTAAACACTAAAACCTTATATAATCAAGATTCTAACTTTCTTCACGCAAAAAATGTTAGAAATTGAATTTCCTTGCAAGATGAAAAGAGGGCTTTAAGAAACAGAAAATAGTACATGTTTTTCAGCCAATCCTTCGTACGAGATTCCAAAATGACAGGGATCTTCCAAAAAAAAAATGATGCAAAGAACTCGTTGATATCTGCATCTGGGAAATGTGATCTTAGAAAACGTTCAACTGTTGGCTTTCTTGCATGGCTTTCGAAGAACTTTTGGAACAGCGAGAAATCTATCGTTGTAGAAGCCAGAGCTGCTGACCCTCTTCCCCACCCTCCAGCTCCAATTATCACCAGGATTTGGCCAATCTATAGAAGCATAAGGCAATTCTTCCCCACCACTACCAGGTGGAACTGGTGTAGGGAGCTTATTCTCTTTAATTAGAGGGGACAGTCATTATTTCCATTAGGGATATCATTCCCCTGAATTTCATCTTTTGGTTCTGATGTAAGGGAAGCCGGTCCAGCATAGTAACTACAATTGGGATAAAATAGCATTCAAGAAAACATAATGAATTCACCAGAAACTTGCAAAGAGACATCTTCTTAATTACTTAAAAATTCATCTGACTTCATTTGAACATACGTTGAAGCTGCTATGCACACTAATTTATGAATAAACCATAACAACAAGAATAACATTGTGCAATAGTTGATGACTTTGGAATGAGAATGATGGTTTATCCCTGGATTCAGAAATAGAAGGTTCCGCTCTTACCTAATTACTATAAATGATATTTCCAATTGCAGGTAGTTTACATTGTTAACAATGAGGCGAGAGTAATATGAAGCCCCTCTAAATCACAGCTTAGGAAAACAAAACAATCTTATGAGCAAGCAAATAAAATCATAGTATGTCCAAAGAACCATGCATCATTGCTAATTGTTACACATGTTGAACGAGAGATTTCGAGGCTTGCTCTATGCCAAAGAAGAATCACACCCCTAAGAAATAGAAAATTCTTTAAATTATGGTAACGAATCTTTCAGTCATTACATTTAAAATAAGCATTTTAAAACTATTTTAAACAAGAACTTGGAAAGAAAAACTAAATTAAACTTGAATTCTCATTATTATCTGCTTAAACTCATCCCAATAACAAATATCGAAGAAAAATGAGTAAATAAAAAGAAACAACAAAACCATGTAGGAATAAAAGACACATGAAAACAACAAACTTACTCTGGAAAGAGATCTTGATAGATATCCATGTGAGGAGGACTATCAAAGTCAGAAGGGCCATAGTGTGAGGGGAACTGCCCATATGAGGAGGAGTATCCATATTGGGAGGAGAAGAAATTGACATCATCAGAACAAAAATTCCTATAGACCTGCAACATTAAGGCACCCAAAGATATATAAAGATGGAAGATTTGATCTTTAGACTCTCGCTCAAAAGTAATCTTTCATTGTGAGAAATGGTAAGACACTGAAGACAGCAAATAAGAGATCTTTCATTACGATACCAAAAAATTAAGAAACTGGATTTACAAGTTGACAAAATGTAAATCTAAGGCTTAGAGAAATGATGTCTCAAATAACAACAGTTAGTCTTGAATCTCTCACAACTCACCAGGAAGAATAAGGGCCCCTTTAAAATACACCCCAAAATTTTCTTTATACACTTCCAAAATTTTCTTCTAAAAATACTTGCATAGCAAATACTAATTTTAATCTTTAGTAAGTGACAAAAATACTCTTAATAACTTATATACAGCAAAACTAACTTCGTAAATCTTAGAAATAGATTTTCGAGAATTATATTGTGTTCTCAGTAATCTATTTTTGAAAAAAAAATATAATTCTTAGAAATTCATTTTCGAGAACACAATAAAATTATATTGTGTTCTCATAAATAGATTTCCAAGAATCATCTTGTATTCTCGAAAATCTATTTTGAAAATACATAAATTTTTATTTAAATATCTATTTAATTATAAACTCTTGACAACATTTCATTTTAATTTATATAAAATAAATATATTTACTCTTAAAATAAATAATACTAAAATAAATAAATATGATGTGTTAAAATCTCCAAATGTCTCTAATAATTTTTTCTGAGGTATGGCTCAATACGGATTTTTAATATTTATGCCACCAATATCTTTCAACTACCAGGATACTGGTGGTCAAAAAATTAGATGTCTTAACTGTAAGATTTGTCAATCTGCTGATGACATTGTTATGGTAAATGTTTTATAAGGTGTTCGAGCACTGACTAGCATGCATGCATATATATAAGTCATCGATGTATCTATTCTTACTTGATTATATGTGCGAATGAAAGTGACATCTTAGTTCTCAAGCATGCACAAGCATAAATGTGTTTTTGTCTTGAGATCATAAAACCAAGAATATCTTTTTACCTATGCAAAACCAAAAAATTAGAAAACTAAAAAATGGTGTTTTCAATTTTTTGGAGACTCAAGAGAAAGAACAAGTTTATGCCATTCATATTAAGAATATTGATTTGGGTTTCAATCACACACATGATCAAATAAATGGGTTCATAAATGCATAATTAAAGTTTTCAATGATTAAAAATAAAATTGACTTTCTTGAAAATAGATATCCAAGAAGACTCAAAGATTCTTAAAAATTTATTTCCGAGAAGACTCAAAGCTTTTCAGGAATGGATAATCTATAAGTTTTGAGTCTTCTCGAGAATCTTTGAGATTTTTCATAAATGAATATTTGAAAATTTTTAAAACTTCTTTAATAAAAATGGATATCCGAGAATTTTTAAAACTTTTTTAATATCCATTTTCAAGAAGTTTCAAACTTTTTGGATATTTATTTTTGAAATATTAGATTTTAAAAAATTAAGAGAGAAGAAAAGAGAAATGGTAAAAATAAAAAATAAAAAATAAAGGGTGAGAATGTATTTAGTAAAAATAAAAACTTGAATTTTGAATATAAAATATATTTAGAAATGACATTTATAAAATAAAAAGCGCGGTATAAATAGAATTCCCTGGAGAAGAATCTAGCAGCTTTAGGGTCACTGAAGAAGGGAAATGATTGTTTTATCCCTTCTAAAAGTACTTGCTATTTGTGTACGAAGGATGTTGAGATTGGGTGATGGTGACAGAATGTTCAACAGAAAACGTATAAAAACAGAGTATTTTGTTTCATATTGGCCCATGCTTCTCTTTGGTCCCTTTTCTGCTCACGAACTTAAGCCATGTCGTTGCGACTTATTTATTTATTTATTTATAATTATGAGCTGAGGTTGTCGGAATTAAATATTATCATTATTTTATTACCAGATCACGTAAATACTATTGATATAATATAATTGATTTTATTTATGTAAATTTTTTATTTTAATTTCTTTTTTTAATCCAATGATTGATTTGAATGTTTCTCTTTTTCACTTAAATTTTTTGTTTTTATTAATGCCTCACTTAAATTCCACTTAAACTTTTTCAGAGATTCGTAAAATATGTCAAGTGTAATACTATATCATTGAATTGGTGAAATCTAGAATTTGGAAATAATTAAAATATTAAAAAAGTTGCTAAAATATTTCAATTTTTAAAATAAATTATTATATTTTTTAATCCAAATAAGTCTTTATCTTTTGATTTATATCAAAATAAATTTTTATTTAAAAAAAAATTAATTTATGTTAAAGATTTGTTTGATTATAAATTAAAAGTTAACTAATTCACTTTTAAATAAACTTTTATACTTTTTTTAATCCAAATAAGCCCTATCGATTGATTTATATCAAAATAAGTCTTTCCCTCAACGAAAAAATTAATTTATGTTAAGGATGTGTTTAGTTATAAATAAAAAGTTAAGAGTATATTTGGATACAAATTAAAGGTTAAGAATTTATGTGGCTATAATAAAAATATAAGTACTTATCTAACTAAAATGATAAAATTTTTAAATTTTTTTTATTATTTTAGCCTTTCAAAAATTAATTTGCTTAAAATTTAAGGAAACTAAAATTAGAGCATTAATAATTAGTATGCCTACAAAAAGAAATTAAGCGAATTGGCGAAGTACAGAAATGGTTGTTCTTTGACTTTGTGATTCAGATTACTTCCTATTGTTGTGAGAGAATACGGAGAAGACGCAGCAAGTTTTTGAGAATTTTATACTATGAAGTTACAGAAACAGATGCTCAGTCAATATATTGGAGGATGTGGGATCAAAAAGCATGGAGAAATACTCGCTAATCATTGAATTAGATACTCGGCTATTTTCAATCTTGAAAACAGTAACTACATGAGCAAACATTGTTGCGACTAGCGGATGAAAAGAAACATGGGGAAAAATATAATCAAGTGCCCAATCAACGGAAATACACGTTTTTGGCACTATGAAGTGATTCCCATTTTGAACTCTTTGCTCCTATATCAACTACTCATTACAAAAATCTTACTTGTGTATTTTATCTATCCTCTCGCTCATTAACTCAACACTATATGTTTTCTGACGAGGGTTCTATAAGTGAAATGCTCTCTCCTTAACTGTCCAAAATGGTGAAGTATAAATCACTCATCAGACATGATCAATTTCTTTAGCTTCTGCATGTTTAGCCTATCTTCTTGGAATTAAATATATTTTGGAGTTTTATATAGAACAGGTATCATTGAGGGTGGAAAAACATGCCTGAAAAGAAGACATTGTTCCATTATTTCATGGCAGCAGTACTGCTGTCATCTTCGGACAGACGTTTTAGATTTTTTTTTTTTTTGTTTAATGATTTCCATGCAAGTATTCTTCATACATAATCATCAACTGTTCCGCTACCTGTGGAAGTAATGAGGATAGAATCACAATTTACATAAGAAAAAAAAAGATTGAACAAATTTGCAAAGAACTGAAATTTTACTTGAGCCAAACAACATGAAGAAACCAATTTAGATAAAAGGTTATATACCTCCTCAATGCTTCCATCCTCAATCTCTGTATTTAGAGATAGTAGCATGCTTTCATGAAGCAAATTTTCTAAATCTTCTATCTCAAGTGCTGCAAAATCAATATATAGTTCAGTACTCATATTTCATACCAACTTGTTCCACCTTAAGAAATCTTCAGGAGAACAACATATCCAGGAAACATGAGCAAGAGTAAAATAAATTAACCTTTGGATTGAAAGAACCAAGAGAAGACATCAGCGGCAAGCTGTTGGGATTTCTGAAAGGAATCGTGGCCACCCCATTGGTTTTGGACAGCCATTTGAAGACCGTGCCATCGGGACAGAAGCAACGTAATTCCTTCCTGGAGATGAAAGGCAGCCTCAGGCTTTTGAAGAGTAGAGGGAAAACTCGAACGGTTGTCCCCATTCAAGGATCCCATATTATGAGCCCTCTAATTCTGCTCTCTCTTCTCCTCAAGAATCAAGATATCTCAAAACAGTTAAAACATAATGTTGGGGAGATACATATATATAAAGAGAGAGAGAGAAAGTTCTTTTTGTTCCTTGTTTTGTTGACAATATGGGTGTAAGATAGAAAGAGGTGCGAAAAGTTGGGATCAGAGGAGAAACGGTCAGTTGAGAAAACAAACCGTCGGACCAATGATTGAACAGCCAACTAGATATTGAGCAGCTACACGACAAAAATGATGTATAATCACAAAAAACTTCACAATCTGTGGAGATTGTCATAGTGCCTTCATCATCTTGTTTATATCTGGCATTGTTGGGAGAGAAATTATTGCGAGAAACTTCAGGGACTGTCTAAAAGATTATTGGTGAATAATTTATATAAACAACTTATTTTATGAAACATAATCAACAAATTTTGTTTCTCATTTTTTCCATCTTAAACTATTTTCTTACTAGGTTTTTGCAAAGCAAATTTTCAAGTGGGAACTAGGCATACCTTGACGCCCCATTTAGTCTGAAGCTTTAGTTAGATTTAATTGTTTCCAATTTTATTTTATTTATTTATTTCTCAATATTTTTTATTTTATTTTGGCTTATTTAAAGACAAAAGGAAGAGAGATCCCGAAATTACAAAAAGAAGGAGCTAGGTTTGAAAAAGGACTAAAATTCTAAATTATTTTGAAATTAAAAGTCTTGTTACATAGGATTAAAATCCTAATCAAATGTATAATGTATTTGACTTGATTTTGGAGAGAGATCCGAATGGAATTAAAGTTAAACTCTAAAACCCAAATCTTAGTACACATAAGAATCAATAGCAATTGATAGGCAGAAAAGACAAAGTTGCAAAATTTTTTAGCACTAGTTATCTTTAATTTTGGGGTTTGCTTGGCTGTGGTTTTATGCTCTAAGGGTTTTTCATCAATTGGTAGAAGGAGATATATAAAAAGCGACGTCTACATAACAAGAAATGTTTTTTTTACCGGCACTTAAAAGATTAAAAAAGTGCCTCTATTACTATTGTAGGTAATTCTTTGACCGCTTGTTGACCACCTGCTAAGTAAGTATTGGTGAAAACTTTTTGATGGTGAAATTACCAGTACTGAGATTACACGTATATTTGACAGCACGTCTTTTTTTGGTACTTTAAGCTACCGTTGTAAATAGAAAAACATTTAATGGTATTTTAAAATAGCAGTAAAAATCACATTTTATTTAAAATTTTTTTATTTATTGAGTTAGTTATATTAACACTTAAAATTATTTTTAAAAATTTTTAAATATTTTTTAAAATAATTTTCATATTTCTAATCCTTACATAGAATGAAATTAAAAAACAATTCATATCAATTAGTGGAGAATGAAGGTTGAGAAATGAAAGTCAGTAAATCCCAACTTTTGCAATTTCTGGCAAAAGACATTTTTGGATTACTTATTTCTCAAATTTTACTTTTTTTATTACAGAACAATAATCGCCTCACATGTGCATCACACTTGAAGTATGTAAGCATAGTTAAAATCAGGCAGAAACCTTTGAATTTCATATTAATAAAGTAAAAATATCATTGTAACTAAGAGTTTAACAATTTACATTTCTTATAAAGAAAAAGGTAGGAACACTGCTAATATCCCAGCGGGCAGCCACATCCCTACCCTCGTCTATATCAACTTCTAAGAACACCACTTTCACATATTTTACAGCTAAACTTGTATAAAGAGGAGAGATGAAGTGACAGGGACCACACCATGTTGTAGTGAAGTACAATATCATAAGGCGAGTTGTTCGTGTAGTAGCATTCAACTTAGTTTCCAGCTCACTAGTGGAGTGAATGCCAATAACTTGCCCTGTTAATTTCAAAAAGCATACGAAGGTAGCATACATAAATACTTGTCCCATAACTAACAGTAATGCAATTCACATGTGCATAAAAGAAATAATCCTAATGGGCGGTATGGACTCTTCCAACTGATCCACGAGTTTTTATGACCCAGAAGTTTGTTATACTAAAATATTGCAAGAGAACAAGAATGAATTGGAGAAATGAATAAAACAGTACGAGTAGTACTGATACAAGAAATTCATTACCCACAGAGACTTAAGATCAGCATTGCAAACGATTTGTTATAGTAGTGTAGGAAGATGTTCCAGTCTCTTAGGCCATTTTGAGTCTTTAATTACATTATGAACACTAGCTTCTCTTTAGCTAGAAAGAAGTGACAATATCATTTGATAGATCTGAAATTATTAAAAGGACAAGTTTGAAAAATGAAAAGAGATGAATGAATCTTTTTATATCTTTTTTGAATATTAAGATATGAATGAATGACAATGAGAAGCAGATTGTGTGACAATAAACATCTTTTAAGTAGCATCCACAAAAGTTTTCATCATGTATAGCCCAAATTAAGATTAGGGTAGGTAAGCCTTGTATGAAACTTTTGTTTTCAAGAAAACCCAATAGGAAAAGGTTATGCGACAATTTAGCACTGATATCTGTTGGGGAGATAAACCACACTTGGAGCCCATGAGAGCATACTAGAGAGTCCATACATACATGTTGGATATCACTTGAGCCCAAAAGCTTAAACTATGAGGTTCTTAGATCCTTCATGCATATATAAGACATCTTGTTCAGATTTTCTAATGATGTGAGAATCTTTACTCACATGTGAACCTTATCCCAACAATCTCCCCCATTTACTTGTGAGTTCTAATCAAGTTCCACCTCAGCTCCCTCGTGCGAGTAAGTCCTATCAACACCTTCTTTGGGTTAGGCAACCTCACATCTCTAGTGCACCTTTTAGGCTATGGCACATCACTCAACCTAGGTGCCTAGGTTGTCTCAATGCTCCCTCAAGCTTACATTTCAAGTTGACTCACCACATCACCCACTTGGGTGTTTCACTTCTGCATATTATTATATACTCACTGCATTCAAGTTGAATCTTTTAATACTGATGTTCGAGCATATGAAGTTGATGGACACAACCAACCTCAAATCTGCCAACAATCTCCTTCCAACAACATTACTGGGATTTGAACCTGTGACTTCTCGAACTCTTGACTTTTTTGGCTCTAATATCACTTGTTAGGGAGATAAACCACGCTTGGAGCCTATGGGAGTATATCAGAGAGCCCATACATACATGTTGGACACCACTTGAGTCCAAAAGCTTAAGCTATTAGGTTTTCAGGTCCTTCATGGATATATAGGACATCTTATTCAGATTTCTTAATAATGTGAGATTTTTTACTCACATGTAAATCTTATCCTAACAATATCTTATTAAAAGAAAAATGCATTTTAGCAACCTCATGCAAGATAGCTAACACCGCACACAAGCTTATAAATAGCATGCCTAGTAAGCAAGAATAAAAACCAAAAAAATCCATAATTTAAGGAAATAAAGCTATCTAGTGAAAACAATCAAATTGAAAATTTTGGCTAAAGTGACAGCAATGAAGCTTACATAGCTAAGGTTCAAGTAGCCATACTTTTGAATAATGATGTCCATATTGTGGTTTAAATCTTGAATAGCACTAGAGAGACTACATCACCTAGACCTCTAACCTACAAAGTTATAAAAAGAAAGCAACTGAGAAAAAGCAATAGGGGCCATCTCAATAACAAAATGCACAATATTCATTGGTGGCTTTTTCACAATTCCTCCAAAAATAGGTATATGGTAATCCATACCAGCATTGTTGTCAAAAGTTCTACCATTTTCCCTTTCAGAGAATACAAAGTCTGTCATATATGCATCCAATGGAACTTTGACTGCAAAGACACATTAAGTGAGTAAGTCTTTGCTTTCAAAAGTAGAAAAAACCTCTAAAGTGCAAGGACATCAAGAATGCAACAGTAATACAAAGATTTAATGCAACAAAAGCCAAAAATAAAAAGAACGCCATATGTTGCCTAAGGAGATGATATAAAGCAATAATTGATAAGTCATATATGCCTAAAACTTAGTCACAAATTAAATTCCAAGTAATTAATTAGTCTGGATTTGTAATTCACATTTGTTATCTTGGGCCAAAAAAGCTGTCAAAGAGAGAGGGGCAGCAAGCAAAAGATGATAAAATGGTGAATGCAAATAGCAAATGATCCAAAAAGATTATGTTGGTGCCATACAGTAGTGAATACTATACAAAGGCAATGTTGGTGTCACACAATTTTCACCATCAGGTTTTGCTTCTGAGATTGGCCTTGCAGTTGTCACCGTGGTTGAAAGAGCACCAGCAACTATGGAAGCCACTGTGTATTCATGATAATGTTTCCTTTTATGCACTTTGTAACCATTTGGCATGAAGCTTTCTACTATAATCTAGCAAAAGAAAATAGAACTATATCACTTGATGTGTACAGTTTTAATTTAGTGGAAATAGATTTGATCAAATATGCTGATTTATGCTTAAATATCCATTTAAGGAAGAAAAGCCTTTCGATGTGTTACAGTCCAATTAGAACATATAAATTTCCAAGCACAGAACTAGAATGTAGATTCAAGACATTATTTAATATGACAAATGGTGGTTGACTAAACTATCATAAATTAGTCAACAAATTAATAAAATGACTACAGATTCGTGAATATAATAACAAAGAGCAAATGACTTACTTGTATAGGGCTAGCAACCACCAATATACCAACAAATCCACCACTTATTACACAACCATCTGGTCTAGCCAATAAAACACTCAACCCACTAGTTCTACTTTTTACACCACCAATGTCACTGACTATAAAAGAACCAGTTATGGACAATATCTCAAAGCAACCCTGCAAAGTAATTCAAATTTCAACCATTACAAGGATAAAAAGAGGTTTTAACTTATATGTAAAGACATAAGAATAGATCAATAGAACAAATAAAGAAAAAAAAATCAAACCTGAAAGTTGGCGACATTAAGACAGCATGTGGTGAAACAAAGTCTAAAAGCCAACTAAGAAACAACCTAAAATA